TGTTATATAGGTTACATTACAGCCTGAGCTAGTAGATGCTCCAAATACAGTAAAATTAAAAAATATTGCGTAGCGAAATAGCGAAATAATTCGCTACATTTTTTAAGCAGTAACTGTAGTCAGTAGCGAACTACTGTTGTTCAAAAGTAGCAGTAGTTGTAGCTGACTACATATTTTTGAAGTAGCTGTAGTTATAGCGAACTACAAAAAGTTTGTAGTCAACCCACCCTTGATTTTTGCCTTACACGGTACTTCAATGCAAATGATATACTCACCTGTAGTCAAGATACTCAGATGTCACTATTTTGACTACTACGTATGATAAAGATTGTATACTACATACATTTTTTCGGTTTCTCGTCCACCGTTGCATCACTTGATGTTTTGTTTTTCTTCGGCACATTAACCTCGCTTTCAGGATCACTTCCAGCCTGGCTCTCAAACCGCTGTTGTTGGGTTGACCGTGATGAAGTGAAGAAATTGTCTAGAGATGACTCATTCTCCGATCCTGGGATATAAAATACATAGTTCATCATGTAGGTTTCCTATATCTCGATGGACGAATATGGAACTAGTGTATGTATCAGGGGCGTAGGCAGCCCCAAACAAGTAGAGGCGGGGGGATGGGGGTTCCAATCGTTGAACACATAGAACAATTTTGGGAGTCGCCCGTCCCCCTGGATGGTCCCCCGGAAATTTGTCTATTTAGGCTGCGAAACGCTATCTCATGCATTTAGACACGTTTTGTGGTAATCTGAAAGCCACAAATTTGGTATAATTTATGTCACAAATGAAAATATTATTACCCCCCGTCCCCCGCCTCCCCGGCATGTGCATCAAGTCCAACGCGCAACCCCCAAAAACTTTTGTGCCTAAAGTGAGTTTTAAACCTTGGAGTTTTAAACCTTTTAAACAACAACTTCCTGTGCTTGATTGACTTGAAAGTTTACTATTCAAAATAATTTTAGTGCTTAATACACCAGCAGAATCCAAACTACCTATGCTTGCATAAACTTTTCACAAACTTTGCGAAAGTTGCTGTTTAGCGAACATGCAGGGTTTTTCCATTTTTCCATTTTAACTGTTCCTGGTTAGATTTAAAGGCCTGATTCCACGGGCGCTTTCTTCGGCGAAATGCGAAAAATTTCGCGCGAAATGAATTAGGTGCATGCCAGTAAGGATAAATTAAGATTCGCGAAAAAAATCGCTTCACCAGTGAGTAGAAGTCAGTTCAACTGACTGCGAAAGCGGAAAAAGTGGCAAAATTCAATGGAATCGCGCGAAGAATTTCGCCGTCGTGGAATCAGGCCTTTGCAAATGTATAATAAATTTGCGTTCGAAAAATCTGCTGTTAATAAATCGAAGAGATTTTCAAAGGCAGTTAATGTACAGACAGCTACTGTAAGAGGCAAGTCATCAAGATCTTTCCCCGTATACTGAAAGTCTCGCTTTCTGTATTATAGTACCTTTATGATTTGAAACATTATCCATCTCATTATTCCCTTTCCCAAAGAAACTTCGTAACTTCTGCTCATCAACCTCCTTCTTTTTTGCCGAGTTACCAAATGAAAATCCATTTTCATCAGAATTAGCGTTTTTCTTACTCGCGCTGGAAATTGATTTTCCAAATCTATAATGTTTTATGTTTGTTAAGTAATAGAAGGAAAATCGTAAACTTCCCACAATAACGACTACAGAATCTGTCGTATATTTGGATTAGATCTCATGCGACGTGTACAGTTGAACATCCTCGCAGAATAGACGACCCCAAATCAAGCACCTTCGGTTCAATTCCGGGTTGAGATTTGATTTCATTTGGTAACCTCATGTAATGTATATAAGAAGATTGCAATGTTAAAGAAAACATGAAACACAAAAAAATTGTGCATTTTATCAAACAATTCTAAGCCTTTGTATTAGACATGAACAAAATCTCCGTTTTCTAATGTAACACAATTTTAGAAATATCCCAAAACTAAAGAATGAAGAGTTTAAGACTTGCAAGTACTTCTTTACACATTCAAGGATTTCCAAGGCCTTGTATTTTTGTTTTCAAATCAAATCCAAGGACTTTCAGAGGGCTTTCAATTTTTGTACGAGCTCTGCTGAGACCTTTCTTTATATTTTACCTGGTTGAAACTTGAACGTTGTCATCACTGTCTTCCGAGTTGATTTCGCTTTTCTGTCGACGGTCACGCGATGGTCTGTCATTGACTGCTGCTGAGGATCTCTGTTTCCTAACGGGAGCTAAAGGAGATCGTGCATTCGAAATTTAAATATGATTACGTACAATAAAACCCCGGTCAAACGAGGATGAGAGTTGCAACTCTCGCTGGCGTCTGACCAACAACTCTCATCGAGTCTATTCAACTTTGAGCTGGTTCGAATTTTTATAAGGGTTGACGAGATTTTATGCTCGTTTGACCAGTATATCTGGCCAACTCTTATCAATTCTCATGCTATCCTATTCCAAAAACATTTTTCAAACTATTCAAATGATGAAGGTTATTGTTGTTTGTTTAAGCGTTTATTAGCGAGTGGGAACTACCAACATGGCCGCCATCTATTCAAATGGGGGTAACCGCTGGAATATTCTTGGCTTCAATTTTACTAAAAGAGATGCGCTATCTAGTGTATATAAGATATCTATGGGCAGATCCCCTGGCAAAATATTGGGGGCCCCCTTGGAAAAATTCTGACCAGCACAAGCACGTGCATTAGGCCTATATCTTCATTTCTTCTAAAGGAAATTTTAGATTTACTTAGTATAGGAAATTATACGGCTCGAGAAGTATTAATGAAAAATCGCACACGTTTTTTTGCGAAATATTCATAATTGATAAAATATTTATATTTTGATGCTCTTTGAAAAACTTACTCGTGCATGTTTTATCCAAATTGAACACGAAACCATCCTATTACCAATATACAAATATATGCCATAGTAAATGAAGCTAAATCATTCCGTATACAAACCTTCATCACGAGGTGTAGAGGATTTTCTTCCATCATTTCTCAAGTTAAGACGAGACCCACCAATAACAACATCGTCATCGCTATCATCACTGTCGTTTCTGTTATTTACCGCCATGTTATTCATGTTTCTTTGCTCAATAGAATTGCGTGCGCTTGATTGGGACTTCTTTAAAAACGATTGCTGTTTAAATGACTTTCCTTTCTCTTGTTTCCCTTGCTTCTCCGAGTCATCAGAATGCTCGCGGCTCGATTGTTCTCTACAAATACGCAATCAATAATTATTAGCACCTGAAAATTTTACATAACTTCTCTTCATTAAATATAACATAATATGAAGGTGCAAGCTATAACTGTAATAACCTTGTAGGGCATGTAAACCTTCATAAGAAATTGAAACTGATTCTAGTAACTGAACCTTGCTTTGTGAATCTTATGTCATGTTTTTTATCTTCAAATCATTCAATGTCTTTTTAAAAATGCCAAACATTGTGTTGTAAATACCTTAGATTTTAAAAATTTCCCAGTGGGTAGCATATCCCAGATTCTATAGATTTGAGTTGTTGGAAGGCTAGGCTAAACAAGTTAGTGCCGAGTTGTGGTATTTACATGAACATACCATGCAAATGCTTAACTGAAGATTCAGTCTATCTACAGTATAATGTAATGTTGTATATATTCTGGCAGCGAATGCCCTCAGACCCCCTTACTCAGACAATTCCCGCTTTTAGTTTGTGCGTGCAGGGGACGATGGGAAATAAGGTATCACATCGCTGATTATGCTGAAAAAATAGAAATGGTGGCCGTGTAAACACGGAGTGATAGCTTATACTTGTAAATATTGAAATATTTCGGTTGTTTCGGTAGTTTTTATTGAAATTTTGGAAAGCAAATCAGCAATATGATACCTTATTTCCCATCATTGCCTGCAGGCATAAACTAAAAGCTGGAATTGCCTATTACATGACACCACACCCAATTTTATGTCACCAGCTGGTTGAGGATCGGAATATTGAATTGCTTGATAAGCAATTCAATATTCCGATCCCACTTATTTATTGCTCGTTCCGACACTTATTTACAACCTCACTTATTTATTGCTCGCTCCGACACTTATTTACAACCTCACTTATTTATTGCTCACTCTGACACTTATTTACAACCTCACTTATTTATTGCTCGCTCCGACACTTATTTACAACCTCACTTATTTATTGCTCGCTCCGACACTTATTTACAACCTCACTTATTTATTGCTCGCTCCGACACTTATTTACAACCTCACTTATTTATTGCTCGCTCCGACACTTATTTACAACCTCACTTATTTATTGCTCACTCTGACACTTATTTACAACCTCACTTATTTATTGCTCGCTCCGACACTTATTTACAACCTCACTTATTTATTGCTCGCTCCGACACTTATTTACAACCTCACTTATTTATTGCTCACTCTGACACTTATTTACAACCTCACTTATTTATTGCTCGCTCTGACACTTATTTACAACCTCACTTATTTATTGCTCGCTCCAACACTTATTTACAACCTCACTTATTTATTGCTCGCTCCAACACTTATTTACAACCTCACTTATTTATTGCTCGCTCCGACACTTATTTACAACCTCACTTATTTATTGCTCGCTCCGACACTTATTTACAACCTCACTTATTTATTGCTCGCTCCGACACTTATTTACAACCTCACTTATTTATTGCTCGCTCCGACACTTATTTACAACCTCACTTATTTATTGCTCGCTCCGACACTTATTTACAACCTCACTTATTTATTGCTCGCTCCGACACTTATTTACAACCTCACTTATTGCTCGCTCCGACACTTATTTACAACCTCACTTATTTATTGCTCGCTCCGACACTTATTTACAACCTCATTTATTTATTGCTCGCTCCGACACTTATGTAAAAAGAGTCAGTCAACACTCCAATGAAAGTCCAGGTACACAGGAAATGTTGACAGGGTGGGTTGCGACAAACTTCAAGCTGTCCCTTCCACCCTAGCTGAGCTCCCTGATCAGACATGAGTCATTAGGTGGTTGCCAGAGCCGACCTTCGAAAGCATTCACTTCGAAAAGGTTGAATTGCGCCCTTCGCAATTCACCACTTGCGTAATAGACTAAATTTTGATCTAGACAAAAATTTCATCACAGCTTGAAAGAGCATCACAAAATTAGTAACATTCCAAAGTTTCGTTGCGAAATGTTGTAAAATGCGGATAATATAGCCCTGCGAAGTTTGCAATTGTCAGTCATTTTAGATTACAAACGGGAAATTGACAGCCCAATACCCTTCGAAATTTTTGTCAAGACTTGTTTAGATAAAAATTTAGTCTATTACGCAAATGGTCAATTAAGCTTAGCTCTCAGCTACGCGTAAGGATGATTAGTACAACCCCACTTATTTACCGACTTACATAAACGTGGCCTCAAAACAATTCTTACACAATTACCTGGTGAATTTCTCAGCGTTAGAATAATACTTGCGCCTAGCATGGTGCGCACGCATCGCAGACTGGACCCTAGTAACTGCATCCTCCCATTCTAAATCTTCTTCCACGTCATCATCAGCATTGCTAAGCAACTGAATTCGTCGACGTCGAATGGCGTGAGCACGGAGCGCGGACTGAATTTGAACTATTTCGTCATCACGTGGCGAGTTTTTCTGAAAGTGAGTAAAAAGAATCATTTCAATGAGTGGCACCTTTTCCCATGTGGATAACAGCGCAAAAATGTCTGTGTTTTAGAGGTCGCGCGTAGGATTTAATGTGCAAAAAATTGTCTGGTACTTTGATAGAGTTCATAAAACACCTTCTAAATTTGCACAGATTAATTCAAATTGTGTTTTAAGCCTTCCATTTTTGCGCGCAAGCCATTTTTAAAAATGCCCTCGAAAATTAATTTTAATGGTAAAGATACTAGCAGACCCCAAACTACCCATGCTTGCATAAATTTGGCGGAATTTGCAGTTTAGCGAACATGCGCAAGTTTTTGATACACCCTGTAGTTAGGAACAGATAGAGCTATCCAGTATATATAAAGTTCAGTTTAGGTTTCCTCCTATCGTAACGCGATGACTACGACCAAAACAAACTCTTGAAATAAATAGCTTTAAGGAAAACTTGTCGTGTATTATCGATTGCATGAATTTTAATGCAGGTTTAGGAGGTTAAAGACAGAGGATCACAGTTGAGAAGACTTCTACTAAGCCAATTTCCGAGTACCACATCTCGCGGTTTGAAACGGAGGCGTTGTATACGAGACGTAAAAATCTTCGGTTTGCTGTTGTGAACAGAGCGAGAACGACGTATAAAAACTTCCGAGGGACTTTCGCTTATTCATTTTTTTTCTACACTATCATAAATTTCATTGTGCTGGGCTTTTTGAAAGCAGGCGGCTATGTGGTGCCGAAGATACCTTACCAAGGGGGTTTCGAGGGCGGTCGTCCCGTGAAGATTTTACAATTTAGAGATTTTGAAATTTAGCCATTTTTTGGAGTAGTTTTGTAGATTTTCTCATATCCAAATATTTAGCGAAGAATATTGCGTAAAGTTTATGTTATTAAAACAAGACACCTTTTGGAAATATTTTGGTTTATAATCTGAAGAAATAGCCTGCGATTGTCTACGTTATAAACGGCGAAAATCGCCAGATGACGGCTTCTGTTCCGCTGTCTTGATAGCTAAGGGTCCCCACTGAAACCAGTGGTATTGGGGAGGGGGGTGGTCGGTTGCCACACCCACACACTCCTCCCCGCGGGGGCATTAAAGTGGGGACCGCCGGTCGCAGGCACATTTCAGAAACAACTTTCTTGCAGGCACATTTTGCAAAACTTGTAAACCAGAAGTTATAAAATAAATTTTATAATTCTTATTACCTCCGCCAGGAGGTTATGTAATCATCTGGGTTTGTATGTGTGTGTGTGTGTGTGTGTGTGTGTGTGTGTGTGTGTGTGTGTGTATGTGTGTGTGTATTTTATTTTATTTTATTTTATTTAACTTTGCCAAGTAACATGCAACATATAACACCACTGATTTACAACAACATATAATAATATGTGTTTCATTGGCAGGGTGCACGCAACAGTTTTCACCAATTACAGCGGCCCCATTAACTATTTTAATACTATACAACAATATACAACGATATACAACGAACATAAATCTAATAACAACACGATATTTGACAGGACAGATTACGAGACTTGTTACAAGACAAACATATAGATTTCCATG